AGCATCAAGGGAGGAATGGAAGAAACTGCTGAAGGCTGAAGAGAACTTTTGAGCACATCTTCTCACTGTGCTACTCAGCAGAGAATTGTCCAGTAGGATAACAAGGGCAAAATCATGTTCCATGAGGCTCCACCTGCATCACTGTTTTCCTACTGGCATTGCACTAGGTTGAAAAGTTACGTTTTCTTATGGCATAGCACAAGTGCACAAAAGCTATCCAGTACAGAAAGTATGTCTGAATTCCTCTGGAAGAAGCATCTGGATTATGTTGTTGCTTCTATGGAATACTGTATGATTAATATATTTCCATTTAAATTTTGCTGCAGAGGCCCAGATACTTTAAGTGGATGAGGTAGATATCAGAATTCCAGTAAAAGCTGCCATGGTGTTCATTGGGAGAGCTTTGGGCAGATCTGAATCCTTGTTCTTTGTGGTTGTGTTTCTGGCCAGAGTTGAAAGGATAAACGGAGTAAGGCCTGCAGTCAGAACTGATTCAAAAGCTTGGTGCTTGTTTAAATGGACATTTTTGGATATCAGTTTACCTGTGGAGTAGTGAAGATGCTCTTGCTTTTCAGGCATGCCACTGTTAGGGACACCAAGGTGGCAAGGAGTGTCCCCAGACAGCACACCTGGAATGTGCTCGTGGTCTCCTGATTTCGTGTGAGCAGTGCTGAGGCTATAGGTCCCGCCAGGCTGGCAGAGTCCCTTCAGCTGTGGTCTTAATTCACTGCTTGCAGCCCTTTCTGGGGGCTAAGGGAGGCGTGAGGAGGAGAGGATTGTTTTGGGACAAGGTTTCAAGGGTCTCAGTGATGTGTCAGGGCATCCACGAGCCTGGGAGAAGGTGGCAGTAGCATGTCAGAAGTATGGCAAATATTTCCATCACCTCTTCTAAGACAGGGGTCATTTCTAGCTTATATTAAAAAGTTGAAATTGCTCTTTATATTTGGAAGATCTGGTGTTCTCAGGTGCTGTTAATGAGTAAGTTTCTAGGGGGCTTAGGTGAGGGTTTAAGAGGAAACTGGGAGATTGTGAGAAGGTAAGGGGCAGGTTTGCTGCCATATTAAGGCCATAAATGTATTTGATTTGAAAACAATAGCTTTAAAAATAAATTCCAATGTTGACCTCAATAATGCAGAAGTGTGCTTCAACATAAGTGCCTTTGCTGTCACTGTGCCTTTTTTCACACAGATCTGGCTGCCAGTCTTTGCAGAGGTGTAGCAACTAAGGTCTAGGACTCCCTACCTCTGCAAAATACCTGCTGGTTTTGTCAAGTATTTGTGTAGAAGCAACTGTTCCTGTTGTGCCCTTTGAGGGAAGTCCCAAGACTTTCCCATGTGTGATCAAACACGGAAAAGTGAGGGGAGGTCACGTTGGCTCTCCCTTCTCTGGGCTGGGTGAGCACTCACATGAAAAGGTGTGAATTTTTACTGTGGTGTTACAGGGAAAGAAAACCCCATGAGTGCTTTGTGGGACTATTAAGGAGTTGGTCAGATATCTTGAAGATTATCCAAAACTTTGTATGGGAGAGCATAAGAATCCCAAAATTGCGGAATTTGAGCGTACGCTACAGTTTGTTCTGCTATTCTTGTCTTGTTTTCAAGAGGGCTGGAACTTGCAGCCACAGCTTCAGTAGGAATCTTTTCCAGGAGAATTTTTGCACAGCTTCTCAACTGCAGCAAACTTGTTGCGGTATAGTGGATGTGTGTTTTGTGAGAGCAGTGCTAAACTGCTGTTAGCAGCTGCAATGCTCTTGGATGGTTTTACTGTAATTGGGATGCGACACTGTGCTGAGCGTATCCTGTGCTTGTTAAGCAAAAAACGCAACCCAGAGCCAACATCTGCATGGGATAAATGGCCTTTGTACAAGCTGTTCAGTTAAATAGAATTCATAATAGAAGACACTCTGAAGCAAATCAGTGGCAGCAGTTAGGTGGTACATTCCTGCCTCAGTATTTAATAAATAACATTATTAACCCTGCCCCCCACCCCAGAAAAACCCCAAACAACAAACCAAACCCAAACGCCAGCAGTCACACCCCCAACACAATTCATTTATCTGGCAGCCCAGGAGGAAAAATTAACTGTGTCTTGTGTCTTTATATCCAAAGTCAGCACAAGTGGTGTTATAATAGAACAAGACCAATGATTTGCTGGTTTAAGAAGTGGCTGGGTTTGCCTTGCTTCAATATCTGATGAAGAGAGACCATATATTCAATGTCACTGTTATTTTGTGATATATCTAATAACAGTAACCTCAGGTGGTCTAAAATTTTGAAAGCAGTATGAAGTGCTATGAGGTTAAAATAAAGGAAGCAACACCTGTATCAAAAAGGTGAGCAATGTTAAAATGAGCAGATGTGGATCCAGACTTTTAAATGTTCAGCTAAATATTAAAGTAGCAGTTGAGTACTGAAAATAAAAACAGATTTTAAACATGGCTTAGTTTTTTAATGTAATTCTCTCAAATTACATGTTTATGATCTGGCAATTTTTAAAATGAGAATACACTCATTATTGGAATATTGAATATATTCTTATAGAAATACATAGGAATCTCATCCCTAATAAGAGGAAGGTACCAGAGAGAATTTTCTGGCTGCAGAGGGCTGATATTTCATTCATTATGGCGAGTTTAAACCACGTAGCTGGGCTTGCTCTAAGCTGCAGCCCACTGACCTGGTGCAGCTGTGTCCCTGTTAGTGGCCATTAGCCAGTTAAATCACTGCACACTAACACTGATCAAAGCAGTCGTGGCAGCTCTCCATTTCCTGCTTGGAAGAGCCCTATTTGTTTGATGAGTCTTTAAAAGGCTCCAGGTTTTGTTTTGGTGTTTCTGAAGTGTGATTTGACTTTTTGTTGTCATGGGCTCTCCTGTCTCAAACAACTCCACCTCCTTTTTTCTTTGCAATAGGCTGAATGCTTTTTCTACTTAGCTATAGATTGAAGCATTTTATAAATAGATAGGACATCAAAGTCAGAGGTGAATGGCTCTATCTGTGTGGCTTTATTTCAATTATTAAAAGATGCTTTCTTTTAAGTGGTTACATCTTGAGTGCTGCACTAGAGTCAGTGAAGTTTTATTTACCATTTGTTCCATGTGTATAAATTAACCAGTTTGCTTTCTTGCTCAAAGTTTGTACTCGTACATTTTCTGATTATAATTTCATTTAAAAAATCTGGTATGAGAACCGATTGAATTTTATGGGGCTTTTGTCCCCCAGAGATTGGATAAAATGCTTTTTCCACACTGCCTTAATGCTAAGTGTAATCTAAGATTTCAGTATGCATTTTATGAAATGAAAATATCCACTCTACTAGTCCTGTTGGAGATTAACATTAATGTGTGGGTTTTGTATGAATTCAGGTTATTGATGAACTGAAAATGGAGCTTGAACTTGTAAAAGGTCTCATGTGGCTTATGCCAGGAGAATGCAGTTGACGTCCCTGCTAATTATTTAGTTTTGCAAAGTGGTTTTGTAACTGGTATTGATCCCACCCCTGGTAAATTCTCATTTGCAGTCTAAAAGCCTCTGCTACAGGCAACGCGCTGTTGTCGCAGGAAATGAAATTTATTCATTGTTCCAAAGGAGAGTTTCAATAAAGTTCACAGAAGTGTGCACTGCCTTTCCAGCCTGGTCATGTGTGCCCTCCACTTCCCTTCTGCTGGCACTTACCCTTGGATGACTTCATGCTCAGTCACACTGGAAAGCTTGGCCTGGGTGATTTTGGTTTTTGTTTGTTGGGCTTTTCTTTTAGTTGCCAAAGTGACTGTGGAGAAGCAGCTGGAGGTGAGGGACAAGAGTGGGTCTGGGTGACAGAGGGGATTAGCTGGGGTTAAATCTTGAATGAAACTCAGAAAATTGTCTCTGCTACATTCTGCTCTGGATGTGTCCTGCCTCTGTGTTAGGTCAAGCCTGCAAATCTGTCCCATATAAGCTGGGTGTGCAGCTCCTGAGCCAAGCTGTGTTGGTTTGAATGCACTCCTTTGTTGGGGCAAGGGCTGCCAACAGGGACACTGCTGGCAGGAGCACAGGCAAAGGTTGTGTGTGACTTTGGGGACCCAGCAGTCCCGTTAAAATCAGTGGGATCACTTCAGGGGCTTAAACAGGACCAAACCCTAACACTAGAAACTCCTCAGGGTCTGTTTTTAATGTGTATTCCACAGCCCCCTTATCACGCTGCTGTGAAATGATAAGGAATAAGAAATTCTCTCTGTGGTGTCCCAACCGAGTGTCTGGTTTGGGGCGTTTCTGTGCACACACCGTGCCGATGGCAGCAGCAGTGCGGGGACACCGGGGAGGTGGTGGCATGGCGAACACAGAGCCCACGGCCCCTTCTCCTCGATCCTCCCACAAAGGAGATGTCAGACCTGACCGGCCACATGCCAGGAGGAGAAAGCAGGCTGGTCTGCCAGAAGGGGCGCATGGCTGCAAAATGAGGCGGCACACCTGAACAGAGCCAGCAAGGAATTGCGGTGCCCTGACAAATGGCACATGCTGAGCGTTTGCCTCCAGTTGTGTCCAACTGTTGTAGAATGTGGACTATATAAAACGGTTCCTAAGACAGGATGTCATTTCAAATTTGATCTTTGTGTACTTTCAAGCCTAACACCACTCTGGTCCGGGTGTGGTGGGACCGGGGCTGTTGTTTTGCCGCAATGCTTTTTATCCATTTTTCCTCGCAGCCGCGTGGGTCCGGCGCACCAGGTGCTCCGGGGGAGGGCCCCGCCCGCCCGGCCGCAGGTGATGCTCGGGTGGGCTCGGTGCCCGGCCCCGGCACCCGGGGGTGTCCGAGGCTCGTCCCGCCCCGCCTCCCTCGGACTTCCCGGCCGTGGCAGGGCGCTGTGGCCGCGGCGGCTCCCAGCCCGCCCCCCGTGCTGCGAGCGCACACCGCGGGCTCGCCCCGCTCGCCTGGGCCACTGATTCCCCGCTGCTGCCGGATTCGGTTCGGCTCCGCGGGCCCCGCAGCCGCCGGGCGGGATCGGGCCGGGCGGGCTCCCCCGGCGAGCTCCGGCAGAGCCGATGTCCGCCGCGCCCGTCCGCTCCCCGACGCTGCGGCCGCACAGGATGAAGAAAGAGGAGTCGTTCCTGGGCAAGCTCGGCGGGACCCTGGCCAGGAAGAAGAAAGCCAAGGAGGGTGAGTTCGCCGGCGCGGGGGAAGGAAGGAGCGTGCTCGGGGCCGGCGTGACTCGCGGCCGCTCCGCCGGCCCGGCCCGGCCCGTCCCGTCCCGGCCCGGCCCGGCCCGGCCCGTCCCGTCCCATTCCTCCGCGGGAGCAGCGGCGGAGCCCCCGAACCGCGCTTTGTTCGGCGGCCCCAGGAGGGGCCGTGCCCGCCCCCGAGAGCCACAACGCGGCCGGGCGCGGGCGTGGGGGGCGGCTGGAGCGATGGGGGAGACTGGAATCATGGGAGATGGATGGCAGCGATGGGGAGAGGCTGATAGCAGTGGGGGGAGGCTGGCAGCGATGGGGGAGACTGAAGTGATGGAGGGCGGGATATCAGCTCATGTCGCGTGTCCAGGAAGGTAAGCCCAGAACCCTTTTTGTGCTATAAAATAAAGTCCTGGTGACCAACGAGACTGTGGCTGTCCTTTTCTTGTGGTCTGAGAGCTGAGGACCCCAGAGGGAATGGTTAAGTCCACCCCTGTTTCGTTCCAGGTCCGCTTCATCCATAGGCTTTATGTTGGTGTAGGCACAGTGCCCAGAGACACACCCATCTCACCCACCTCACTGTGAAGGGTTCCGCATAGGCACACATCGCCCAGGCTGTACCGGTGTGTCCGTGTGGGTTGTCGCTGCTCGTGCTACCTAGGCAGGGAGGCAGGAGCCTTCCCTTCACTGCAGAGAGCCCGGAGAAGCTCCCCAGCCTGAGCCCAATGGATCAGCACCTACGCTGGGGGCTCAGCCTGTTGCACACCCTGACTGGGGGCGTGGGCATATCTGTGAGGCCCTCGCCAGGGCTGTGCAGATAGCAGCGTTGTTGCTGTTGGAAAAGGGAGGTGTCTCCTTGCTGGACTTGATAAAGCTGGCCCAGTCCTGAAGGCTCGAAGGGTGCCCGACCTCTGGGGATGGTGTCTGCTGTTCTCCCCAGCTGCCCCGACTCACCAGTGCTGCCTTCTGTGGAGAAGCTGTGTCTGTGTTATCCCCAGACTCCTGGCATCTGCCAAGGAAATATGTGTGTCCTTGCCCTATGGCTTAACACAACTGTGACTGGATGGCTGGTTAAAACTGGCCTTGGTTTGTCCTAGTGTCTGCTGTGTGTAGGGTCGGGATGTAATTCAAGTTTCAGCCTCCTTTCGGCTGACTGTTGAGCATGTTTTGCCTATACTGAGTCTATGAATTGCCAGCAGCATTCAGAAGACTGCTTTTTAATCTTAAAAAACACAATATTTGGCCTTGAAACCTGGTTCAAGGAAATTGCTTCCCTTTCCTTCTGCTGCCTGTTTTGGTGTGGCTTACTGGTGTTTCCTTTGTTATCTATTTTTAATCAAGTTTCCCTGACGTGGTTCTACTGAGGAGCAGCACAAGCAGTTGTGTCTTCCTGAGATGATCTCATTTGCTTTTCAGGAAGATGGTGTAAAAAACTCATCTCTGGCAAGGAGGCCAAGCACGTGCTCCAAAAAAGTGCATGTCAAAGGTGTCTTCAAAGCTGAAACAGGTTGGCAGCTTCCCTTCTTAGGCATTTCAGCCTCACTAGGCCATGTTCTCGAGGTGGCCACTTACAGCAGGGGCCACCCGCTGGTTTTGATGACTTTGCCTGTGGTTTTACCTACTTGTGTGGCCACAGCTCCTCGTGGCAATGGAAGGGCCTCTTTTGGTCATTGTGCCTGGTACTTAGTGGGGAGCCACACCACAGCCTCCCAGCCCTGCTTCTGTTGGTGTGATGGGGAGGAAGCTGCAACACAAGGGGCAGCTTTTCATGAGGGCATTCCTTCCAGTCTGAAATGCCACTGTCTGCAAGCCTGAGGAGCCACTGGTGTGACATTCCCTGGTGCTGCAGGGGCCCAGCCCTTTGTTGTGAAGGGAAATGGCTTTTTTCCCTTTGCAGAGCAGCTCTCCAGTGGAGGCTGTGCCAGCCATGCCTGTGCAATGGGAGTGGGCCAAGGGGTGAGAGTGATGAGCCGCGGGGTCTGCACCAGGGAGAGAGAGGCTGGAACACGCCTTGTGGAAGGACCTGGGCAGCCTCAAGAGCAAATTTCAGGGCTAGAAACTAATTTTTTTTTAATGTGAGTATGGAGCAGAAGTAAACTGGAAGATCATCTGAGTGGTGTTCCTTGAAAGAGTTGGTAGAAGCAGATGTGTTCAGCATTTCCCCATGTGCTCAGCCTTTGGGAATTCCTGGCCTGCCTCCAGGTTCCTGCTGGGTTTGCCTGAGGGGACCAGCAGAGGTCAGAACGATCTTCCCAGAGTAAATCCTGTCCACGGCAAATGAGGATGCTGAGGCTGCCACAGCCTGAAATGATCCTTTCCTCCTCTGCCTCCATCAGCTCCAAAAGCTCCAGCCCGAGGGCTCTGTGTACCTTCTGCTTGCTTTCACTGCCTGTCTATGTGTTGCAGCTGTTACTGTCCCAGCTGTGCTCATACGGTGACCTCTGACGGGGTCTTTGTGAGAGCTAAAATGCACTTATATCAATCCTTTTCATTTTTGTGCACAACTTCGGAACCATGCAGCTCAAAGCTCCTTGTAATGATACTGAAAAAGTTCTCATTTGTGGTTTTCGTTTCTTTAATAACAGGTTGTAAATAATCATAATGTGCAGCTGCTAACAATGAGCATCTAAATTTAATTTTTTTTTTTTTTTGGCTAATTCATAACTTATTGCAATGCATTTTTGGGGAGAGTTTTTAGGCAGTCTTGACTTGAGAGAAAGAGCAGCTTGTGGGGAAGCTGTTTTTACCCTGGTTTCCTATGGAAGGCTGGTGAGTGATCTCAGTGTCTGTTTGGCTCCTCCCTTCCTCTTCCTTCCCAGGAATATTTTTAACCCCTAGTTTGGGTAAAAATGTCCCAGGGAGAAAAGTCCTGCTGATTATTAATGCCTGCAGGCTGTGTCAAAATGGGTCACCAGTGAGTACAGGAACACGTCGGAGGAGCTCTGCAGTAGGAAAACCAGCAGATGAACTCAACCATACCATGACAGTACTGGAGAGCCCACTGGGGAGGGACTTGGCCAGAGAAAGGACAGGAAAGGCCATGGGATAGCATGGAGGGAGATGTGTGTTCCTAATCTTACAGTCAGTCATGATGCACGTCCTTAGAAAAGTGGGATGTGTCAGTTCCAGTGCTCTGCGACCTCTTTGGTTTTTACTTCTCTCCCTGTTCCCCGTTTAGGCTACATGGAAATCTGCAAATACCTGTTTGTCTGATGTTTACTGTTCCACGTCTCTGTCTTGGTGTATCTGAGATTTACATTAGATATTAGGAAGAAATTTTTCACCTTGAGGGTGCTGAGGCCCTGGCACAGGGTGCCCAGAGCAGCTGTGGCTGCCCCATCCCTGGCAGTGTCCAAGGCCAGGCTGGATGGGGCTCTGAGCAACCTGGGCTGGTGGAAGGTGTCCCTGCCCATGGCAGGAATGAGATGGGCTTTAAGGTCCCTTGCAACCCAGACCATTCTATGATTCTGTGATTTTGGTATTTTAAAATGTGCCACCTGTTCAAGAGCTCCGAAATCTGCTTTAAATACCTTAGAAAAATGTTGGGGTGCTGGCAGGCCCCATAGAGGATATGGTTTTTAAGCCAGATGATTCCTTAGCTTCTTTTCAGATTTTGTAGGTTTCAGGTAGTACTACATTTCAACTTCATCTGCAAAAGGAAATTGAAAAATCTGCCCTTCTGCGTTTGTCAGAGCGATGCTGCTGAAATAAAGGAGGGGGGGTTTTGCTGCAAGCTTCACTCCCAGCCTTGTTGTTGCAAAGCTTGATTTTCTTTTCCTCATGACACGCTGTATGGAAGGTCTGGGCAGCAGGTGTTTGGCTGAATAAGCTTTCTGTTATTGTATCTGTGTGTGTGCATAGCCAATATGGGGGACTCAGTGAGAGAAATAAAACAGAATCAATTGCTTGGTGCTGTATCCCAGTGACATGATGGAGGGTGGGCACAGGGCTGAGGAATCTGTTCTGGAAAAGTGCCATTCATTTGTGCCTGATGAAATCGGGTGGAGAGGGGAGGGAAAGAGAGGATAGCATTGCAGAGGGCAGGATTATTGCAACAGGAAGGAGCTGAATCTGGGAAAAGTTTTGTGCATTTCAAGGGGGGCTGAAGTGCTGTTCTTGGGATCCCTGTCTTGGTCTTACGGTGGGATGTCCTGATGGTGTCTCACCCCCTTCTTAATTTGCTTTCTGCACTCACAGGATGTGGCAGTGAATTTTTAGGCGGATGGAGAGACAAATACAAAAGGAGTGGGGTCTAATTCTGTTGTCTTGCTCCACACAAGTACATTAGCTGCAGACTGAGAGGATGATTGGCTGGAGAAGTGTGTCTGTGCATTATGATGTGCTACGGCTGTTGAAATACCCCCACAGAAGATGAGTGCTGGTTAAGTAGAGGGACTTGCTCTTTAAGAAAGGAATTTGCAGTTCCTTTCTGCAGTAGTAGTAGTTATGTTGAAGCCACACACTGTTCCAGATATGTGTGTATATATAGAAAGTCTGTGCAAACACACGTAGATAGATTCATATTTCAACCTCGATTTATTATCCTTTCTACCACTGATTTAGAAAGACCCAAATTTCCAGTTGGAACCTGTGTAGCCTAATTGCTGTTTCTCCTGTAGAGCTCAGGCCTGACCAGGTCTGGTTGCAGTCTCGGTAGAGTGGTGCTGGTTTGGTTCTCTGTCTATTCTGGCAAAAGCTGTACTGGGAATATATTTTGTATTAATATCTCAACTGAAATGAACTTTACATGCACAAGAATTGTGCTTTTAACAGTACCATAACCCCCACATTTTCCTCCTGTAGCTGCACTTAGGCTAGGATGGTTCACCCTGTTCACCCTCAGGCACAGTCTCCTGGTGAGACAAGTGAGTTTGGAATTACAGCTCCAAGTTTTCTTCCAGATGGGATGCAGCAAGACACACAAAGTAGCTCTGTAGCTCTTCAGTAGTGTTAAAGGAATGCCTTGCCTTCCTTTAACAAAGGAAAACT